ATTACCATTTTCCATTATCTTTGATGGGTAATTGCCTCACAACAGATACGATTGAACACAACTAGTCAACACTTCTCACTGGAACTCCATCTTGAACCTAGTCAGTAATAAACACATGATAATTATCAGTGTAAAAGTGTGGAGATTGTTGAGTTTCAATTGAGATCATGAACCAATCAGTGTTGAAGCACCATTGAAAACCTGAAAGAACCGAATCGCCGTTTCGTCCTAGAACTTTCTGTTAGTCAGACGGAAACTTCAATTTTTGGATTCATATAATTTATGTCCCTATTTAAACGACACATTATATGTTTATCTGTATTTATATTTGATGACTTTTACATAACTGAATGTTCCTTGTTTAAGCGACGATTGAAAAATGTTTATAGATACCACTGTTCATCTAGTAATGATCTGAACGTTTGCTACTTACACATGAAGTTAAACTTCCTAAATGAAAGTCTAGTTGTGGAATCATTAAATATCCAAATATTGTACAACTAGGTGTTATCCACTTTTTAATAATTGCTTCGTTATTTTGAGATAACATGCTCTCATAAACTACTTTCAGGTGGAATTTTATTGAGACGACGGTTAAATTTCATTCTTTTTGAAACGTTGATCCAATTGTTAACAGTGTAGCAAATGTTCATAATATTTCTTCTGCAGTTCTATTAAGAGGCCGTAGGCAGTGGAGAGTTCAACTGTGTCAGATATGAGGTAGATATTCAACGAAAACAATGGAAAAAATAGTACAGTATCGTAGATTGATTAAAATCAGATTTGTGAATCATTGGAGCCTGATTCACTGGTTTGGAGGTCAAGTGTTCTTGCGTTCGATTTCCGGTTGTACGGTAGTAGATGCGGACTACCACAGAGAAGTTCTATGCTAAGATAAAGCAGCCATCTATTGCACCCAGGTTCCTTTGGTTGTCAAACTTCGGTCGGTTAATAGTTTCAATGAAATTCAATAGTTTTTAATTACTAGTAAATCAATTATCAACGGAACGGTCCTGTGAGGATCGCTTAAACTGAATTTCTTTTTTCATAATGAAAAATTATATCTGAAGAAATACAGCTTGCAATTCAGAAGTATCATGCAGATTGAAACTGAAATGGGAAAATAGAGATCATAGGTTTCCCACCATATAGTAAAGAGATCTCATGTTTCCCAGTAACAAATGAGCGTCAATGATTAATGATAAATATCCTTATATTTGAATAGAATAGTTGTCTAAATCCCTCTCGTTTATACCAGATCTTCAACTGAGATCAGTTCATAGTTTAAAAGTATTAATCCTTACGTTCCTAGAAATCTACATTATTTAAAACGCTTTGGTTAATTGCTTTGTGGGACATAATATTTCAGTTTTCTAAACCTAAATCTTTGAAGATTATACTTATTGAAGTTTTGTCAATCTTGATATCCCTATTAATACAAATATGAAATGAATCAATTGCATTTTAAATATCTTGAAATTAATAAAATTATTTGTCAATATGGTCGTCAATGATCCCCGTAACTTTATTGGAATCACGAACTGATCAGTATAAGACAACCATTGAAAAAGTACAGGCATTGGATGGTTACTTAATCCTAGTGCAGAGCTCTTCGGTGGTTGTACATATACATGGGATGCACTTACATCCAGCTGACGAGTCTCGAATAGGACGAAACGCGCGTCATGGATTCAACTGCTAACCACAATACATCTTTGCTTGTGAATTAAGGCAAATCAAGGCAGTCCGCACAGTATGCACATATGCCAATTAGAGATTGATCAATTGCAGTCCTAAACAACAATGGGAAGATACAAGCATACAATACCAAGAAGTGTCAAACAGTTTATTTTTATTTTTAATTGAATGGAATTTAGTAGACGGAAAGACAATTCAGTGATAATTAAAGTTTAATAATAGGAATTCGTTCTAATGTGGACATTTTACTTATCTCGAAACAATTTTACTATAAGAGAGTTCTCTTTTCAGTAAAATCTACTGGCTGATTTTAGTTGTACACAAATTGATTACCGAGATAGGACGTATTTGAAAGATATTTCATCTTAGTACGTAACTTCTCAGAACCCGAAATCGTCTGTATGTAGTTGACTGATTTTGAGAGATAATTTCTGAAGTTCTTACGAGAAACTTTGAACGCTGGGGTTTAACCATGTTGCCTTCCAAAGACACTGGGTGATGATTGCTCAATGTCACAAATGTAAACTATTGGATACCGGCCAATGGTCTAGAGGCTTGGTGTTCATGTGCAAGAATGACGGTTCTGAGTTCTATCTTCTGAGGTAGAATGGTGAACTTCTACTACTGAGTAGTTACATACTGGGATTAATTAGCTAACTGACACTTCCTAGTCTTTACTGGTTGAATAACTAAGAACAGTCTATGATATAGTTTGCAAATTTTCGATGGTGGTCTAGCTTAGATCAACTCATGAATTCTACTCTTAAAATGACTACAATCTCCAAATTAACAACGTTGGATTCTGGCTCAGTAGTCTAGAGAATAAAATTAACAAAAGAATAGCAGAATAAAATGAAATGAAAATGTAACTGGATTATACATGACAAAAAATTGAATTGTCGACATAATAAACCATGATTACAAATGTCGAAGTAGTAAATGTACAAAATGTTTTCATCCACTTCAAGTTTATGGGATAGTTAAACTTTTGTTTGGATGAGGATTCAACAAACCTAAATATTTACTCTAGACAACTACAAAGATTGAGTTAAGATCAATCTTTTGGCTTGTTTCAAGTGTGTTTTTAACAATTGGAGAGGATGAATATGATCAAGACACACGTAGTTCATTCCCGCTCTCTCATTTATGATGAATATTTAACCCCTCATCGTTTTATACTCGTCAAACATGTTAGTAAATTTAATTGGAGTATAATTGATTAATGTTGTTTTAAGATTGCCTTTTTAATTACAATGTATTCTAATAATTACCCTTGACTGTTTCATTTTATTTACTTTCGGTGCCATTTTAGTACATGTCCATCCACTCCAACTTTTAAGTCTTAATTTCTCATTCATTTGTATGCATATCTATACAAACAGGTAAATTGGTGAAAACATGGGGATATGATGTAACTGTTTTGATGAATTGTAAACATTTTTAAAAAAAAATCCGTAATCACAATAATTTAAACCTTAAATCTAACTTAAGCAAAGACGGATAGTGGCTAGGAGTGGAATCCAGGACGCACGTTTCGTCCTATTTGGGACTCGTCAGCTGGATGTATCTACATCCCACAGTTGATGTTCACTTTAAGGGTATTTCGAGGCATCCGCACAGATTGCACATATACCAACATGAGACTGATTAATTGCAGTCCTAAATAACAATGGGAAGATACAAGTAAAACAACACCAAGTGAACTTAAATCTAACTACAATTAATAACTTGTCACTTTAATTCTGTCAAATCAACTATCACATCTAATAAAATTAAAATTAACAATCAACCCCCAATTTTGTAATATTCAGATGTTTTAAAGCTTAAATACTTTGATAAAATTCAATTATAGCTATAGGTGAGACTTCCTTAAAAGTGGTATTGGACAATGATTTTGCGATATAGTGCATTGTCTTAAGTATGAAATGAAGGCTAATATATACCAACTGAGTAGTCTATAAGGTCAAATTATCGCAGTGAAGTTTGAAGAATCTGTTTAATTCCCTAAAGAATTGTGAATGAATACTCATAAGAACTCTCATACTAAGAAGACGAAACAATTGTCTACTACTAGATGTTCAACAGTAGTTGTTTGACTTAAATCGGTCCGTGATATCAACTGTTGATATATACTGATATATATATATATATATATATATATATATATATATATATATATATAAACACAATAAATACCTTATAGTTGAATTCATGAGTCAATTGTAACTAGACCATTATGAAAAATCTGAATGTACTGGACGGCCGTATCGTTCTAGTATGAGACTCCTCAGCATTGTGCATCCACGATCCCGAGCCGCGAGATTCGAACCAGTGTTTCCAGGTTTTCCATGGTGGTTTAGCTTCAACTGACTAATGAGTACAACTATTAAATTAATAAAACCTCCACAAAACTCCATTCTGATGATAATCAACATGTGATTACTAGTAACTGGTTTCAAGTGGTATTTCCTGAAGTTCTAATGAGAAACCGTGACCAATGGAGTCCAACCAGGTCTGTTGTGAGATAGTAACTCACTGATAACAATGTTGGATGTGTCGCTCGATTTCGCTGATCAGTTGGAATTAGACATTAACACCGTTAGATGCCGGCCAGCTCAGTGTTCTAGAGGTTAAGTGTTCGCGCGCGAGACTGATAGGTTCTGTGTTCGAATTTCGCGAAGCGGGATCGTAGATGTGCACTGCTGAGGAGTCAAATTCTAGAATGAAACGGTCGTCAAGTGCTTCCATGGTGGTCTAGCTTCAACTGAATCATGAATACAACTATTAAAATTACAAAAAATCTCCACAAAACCTCTTCTAAAAATACCTTCTCATCTCTATTTCCCAATTGGTAATTCGATGAATTCAGGTAAAACTTTATATATAATCTATCACTGTACACACATACACACACACATACCCATCGAACTACGAACATTCATGCATTTACCAATCCGAGTATAGAATGATTTTAGATTGGTTAATTTCAATTAGTTAACTATTTACAAATGAAAATTCACTGGAAAACTAAATGTTTTTCATCATTATAAACTTTCATATTAGGCATTATATTCTAGTCAATATAAATAAGGAATACATTCTAATGTTCCTTGTTATGGGATAATACTGCTACTATTACTACCACTACTATCACTACTACTACTACTACTACTACTACTACTACTACTACTACTACTATTAATAGTAATGATAATAATGTTAGTAATAATAATGATAATAAGTTCCCAGTTACGTATGATCAATAATGAAAGGAGTACAGAATATTTCATTATAATTAAATCATGAATATTATGATAATCAATGATTATATTCTATTAATTTATTTAATATTATGGATTAATGCTGATGAATTTCATGTTGTTTCACCAGGACCATGTTTACAAGAAGGTGATGCCTATTGTATGAGACGTGTTGCTAATAGTATGTGTTCATTAGAGAAAAATGAATGTTTTTGTAAACCTGGTTATGTATCAATACAAGAAAGTTATGGAATTACTTGTAAAACATGTAAGTGAAACTATGTAATATTTATTGAATAGTTATATGTTTGTTATGAAATTTATAGATTTTGGGTTCGATAACGGTTAAGATTTTTGATATTAATTGTCATTGAGGAACCTTATAATGAGATGAAACACTTGTCCAATGCTTCTTGGTTAGATCATATTGTAGTAAACAAGACCTCAGACCGAGAAGAAACCAATTTAATGTTTAATGCTTAATTGGGATCATGGATCTGTCAATGTTAGACCATTGTTAAAAATTTGTAAGCACTGGACGACCGCCTCGTCCTAGCACGGAACTCCTCAGCAGCGAACATCCACAACCTCGTACACGGAAATCGAACCCAGTACCTTTGGTCTTAAACTCTTATCCCTGAGTACAAAGTCGTGGATGTTTACTGTCAAGGCCGAAACGGGTGTCCAGCGCTTTCAGAATCCCAGTGGTGGTCTAACATTGATGGCTTCACGATTTCGATGAAACTCAACAATCTCCACAACTCTATACTTACAACTTCACCTTAGACTTTAAATCAGTTTTTCAAGCTTTGAAAACCTGGAAGCAACAAACAGCTATTTTGTATCAACTTAAAGGTCGTCACACATCTACCTGTTACTAGCTTTGAGAGACAATTTTTGTGGTTTTATTGAGAAACTATGACCAGTGGAGTACAACAATTTTGAAGATGAAGCAGTTAACCATGAATGGCATTAGATAATGATCGCTCGAAATCACGAATTGACTGAATTAAAAAGTGTAAACCATTATAGTGCCAATTTAGATGTCTGAAATTCAAGTGCTTATCCCCAGAACTTTGAACTCTAATTTCGATCCCAGTTAGGGTTGCAGATGTGTATTGTAGTAGAATATCATACTAATGAGGAACAGTCACCTATATTTTTGGTTTTCATTGTCTGCCTAACCAAATTCAATCAAAACTCTTACAAAAATACTTACCACTTATTCAAAGTGTAATTTGTTTTCAGACATTCAAAAGATGAATATAAGTATGTCCAAATACGTACGATAATTTCAAGTAGTTTTGAAGGGAATTAATTTAATTCATATATATTTTCCCGAGTGGTTAATTAATACCTATATCGCGAACAAAGCGTTAGCGTTTTCTCGGCATTTTTTTAACAAGTTTGTTTTCAACGAGATGGGGTTGCTAATCCCATGCCTAATCCTCCTCCTTTATCAGGGCATGGAACCGGCAGCAGCTCCAGGGAGGCTCCAGGCGGAGTTCTGGTTAGAGATCGCAAACAAAGAATATTATCTGTGCTAAAGAAACTAAAATAAATATATTATGTATCTTGAAGTCTATTAGTGTAGTTAGCTTGTGAAATCAAGCAAAACAAACGAGATTGATTTCAATTTGGATTATGAGGTTAAAATGTTGCATAGCTTATTGTCACCCATGTGCGATGATTATATAATGTGTAATCTATGGTCTACAAGGCCTTAACAGTATAACCTTAACTTTCAGTATGTTAAGGATTGTCTCCAATATGGGAAGGAACGTTTACTAGTCTGTTAACAACTGACATCATTTATAGCAAATAGTTAACTAGTTGTATAGTTCTCTTCATGGACTAGTAGGGGATATTGTAACAATTGGTATCTACGATTCCAACAGTTGTTCGCTACTTTAACTACAGAATTCAGTAGTCTTCACGAGTCCTTTTTACTAGTGCTATAGGACAATTGAATAAATAATTATTAAGGGCTATTTCAGCAACTGATAACATTATATAACTTGCTGAAATCTGCTAAACAGAACACATGATTTATTGTCGGTGATATAACAGGAAGTTGTCTATCAATCAGATAATTCGAGGTCAACTAGACAGAATAACTAGCATGAACATATGGATACATCGAGTTAATAAAGTCCATGAGGATATCGTAATCAAATGAAAGAAATCTTTAACAAAGTATCTGCCATTACTTTTACTCTTCATTAAATACTCATTCTTATATGTATAAGTGGAGTTATTTTCCTAATATAACTTAACATGTGCATTTTCTTCATTGTTTATGGATATTCTTAAATTTATAGATAGTTTGCATTATGGATATTCCTTAAAATTACTAAACAACTATAATCAATATAAAAACAATAGTAATAGCACCCATTTCCTATGTTGGATAGTCGGAGAACGTTAGTAGGAAACTCTGTGAGATTCAGTGATAGCAACACTAGGTGACGTAGGTTTGAAACACCATGTATATGTGCCAAGAACTAAATGGATATGACATTTATCACTAATAACAGTTAGTTCATGGCAAAAATCTGTCCTTAAACACACCATGTTGATAATTTGTAAGTTGATACATACTGTTTAACAAGTGTAAGTCTTTTGTTTTGGAATTTTCTCTTATCTTTTCATGGAGATTTTTATCAAAAATATGTCATTAATAAATTAAACAAAATTAAGATGGTTGACAGAGTAGTTGACAACACTATCGAACAATAAACCTCACTAGAGAAAGTTTAAATTGATAAATAAAGAATGACATAGTAATGGATGGTGGTAGCTAGCAAAAGAATCTGAGACGCATGTTTCGTCACATTTGAGATTCGTCGGCCGAATATACCTGACTTCCTGATTTGATGCTCACTCTAGAATTCGAACACAGTACTTTTTTCTTCATAAACCATCACATTAATTGACACTTATTAAACTATTATTTTCCGGAATTGAAAGAAAAAACAACACAACAAACCGTTGAGATCTGTAAAGCAAATGAAATCCGTTAGCATATTGTTTAATACTGAAATACATAATCAGTAATAAAAATATTATTGATAAAGAAATGTTACAGAGAGAGATACAGTAATTAAGATCTATCACATCATTAGTCTGTAAAATATATCAGTTAATTTTAGAAGGACTACTAGATCAGATGACTTGAAGAAAAGTAGGATAAAATTAAATTAATTTCTTAACTTTATGTTGATTGTGATCAAAAGGTTCCACAGAGTTAAGTCTTCCTTACAGTTACAGATTCATTTTTGTAAATGTTACAAAGTATGTTAATGGGATACTTAATAAGAGAGAAGTATTAATTGTTGAATGATAAATCTGATTTGTTCAACTGAACAATAATGAACATAGGAATTATTTCTGTAGTTAAATAGGGATTATCAGTGGAATCCAGGATATATGATTTTCGTCCCATATGGGATTAATCATTTGGATGCATCAGTGTAGTGTCGGTTGCTATGTTGAGTTCACATAGCTTATTCTAGTTTCCGGACAGGAGTTACATTTTGACCATATTAATTATTCGCTTGACAACAGTGACTGTTCTATTATGTAAACATATGTGTGTACATTTCCTATCTTACTCATCAAATGTCTGTAGCTTATTCTTGTTTGGCTAAATCGAGTTGGCTCACACACCGTCTCCACTCTGCTTCATTTCGTTTCACTCTCATCTATTCGCTTTCTTTTTTTCGTCACTCTGACTGTCTGTCCAGATCATCGAGTATGCAAAATATACTCATTCAAACATCCATTCTCGTATCGGACTTATTTTAATTCCGTTATTCACCAACAAAAGTTAAGTCAATAATTTTATACGAAGATTGGCGACATGTATATCACAATAGCGATCATTCAATAACAATCATTCATATGATCTAAGTGGAGTCAGATTCAGGACCACAATATTTACATCCCACTGTGGGTGTTCACACTAAGACTTAAATGCAGTGTCTTTTACTTGTTATTTTAAATTAATATGATATTTTATACATCTGCAGACCTAAAAGGGTTTTCAGAATTCCCTCGATAGATGCCTAGTGCTTTTTGGTCAACTTTGAATACTCCTCATTGTGAATAGGAAACGACGGCTGCTCAGAGAATTTTATTGCTTGATTTATATCATGAACAATTTCTAAACACTATCTTCAATAAGGCAGATGTTAACTAGAGAATCCTTAACAATATAAGAAGCAAAATGAACTGTTGTTCTGTCCTGGTTTACAAGTCCTCAGTAATATGTATTCATAAACTACACAAGGTTGAACTAAGTATATTCATGTGTGTGTTCACTATGATAACTTTAAACTACTTAACTTACATAGTTTTTAGATCAAAAGTGGTTTTTGTCAAATCTATACTTAGTAGATGCTAGTTTTATCAAACACTGTATACTTCAGTTATCAATTTCAGGATATCTTGAATTGAAAGAAAAAAAAACACAGTCCAAAGGTCTTCATTGTTCAAAAGACCTATAGTGCGTTTCATTTCGTGACAAAATTGATCTCTTTAAAAATTTCTACAAATCTTTGAATTAGTTATTTATTATCAGTATAGGGGTTATGGAGATTATTTGGTTTTTGATTGAGATCATGAACCGATTGATGATAGACCACCATTCAAAACCTGGAAGTACTTGACAGCCGTTTCGTCCTATTGTGGGACTCCTCAGCGGTGCGTATTCAGGGGCCTTCAATCTCGCTCACGAACGCTTAATCTCTAAACCACTGAGCCGTCATTCAACGGTGTTATTTATTTGTAACTTAAATAACATAATGATAACTTTTAATTGTACACATAATTGTTGCATTTAGAAAGATATATATATATTTCATTTTGTAGTGTTAACCAATTTAAAATGTCAAGTGGATAGTGACTGTATACATGTAGTGAATAGTGCATGTCATCCAGGTGCTGGATATTGTGCTTGCCCAGGTGGTACAATTTATGTTTCTCAGGATAATGCATGTCGTAAGTTCTCATTGAATATATATCTATCTATACATTTCATTATAATATTTATAAATATCACAAACATTTGTATTCATTTACTACTAAGCCAAGAAATATCTCTTCATTTCAACGATTGTGTTTTAGATACAAACATTTCTCCATCTACTTTTTATTTGTATTAATTTTAAACACACATAAACATTAGCACAAAGAGGCACCAAATATATATATGCCACATAAATCACTCGATTTGTGTGAGGGCTGGTATAATGTCCGGGTGCACAAACCAAAAAGGATGGTTTTCTTGAGGGGGCACACCCGGAGCGTTCGACCTAAAGGTCTGATCCACAAGACAGTGGAGCAACTTCATGAGATGCAGTCCCATGGTAGCCGGTGACAAATAATTGGTTCATATGCCATTTGTTCCCTTAGGATCCTTAAGCACATGTACATCATTGGTTTTGAATCAGGGTTTTTTCAACTCCCTTAGGTGAACTCTCCGTGTCCGCCAACCCGGTTAAAGCGCTAGACATTCGCTTTTCGTCCTCTCAATTTCGTAAATAACACCCCTGCCACGAGAAGGCAGTGAGTAGGACTTACTCGCTGAAGACAATGATCGACGGTCGTTCAATTTCGTGGATGCCGACCAACTCAGTGGTCTAGTGGTTAAGCGTTCGCGAGCGATACTGAAGATGTTGGGTCCGATTCTCACATATGAGATCGTGGATGGTGGTCTAGCTTAAATCGACTTGTGAATTCAACTGTTACAATTTAAAGATTATAAAATCTAAACTATTAAAAAAAACCCAAGTATTATCTATTCTGATCTGTTTTAATCATGAAGAATCCCTTTTAACTTTGATTTGTCTACTAATGTGAGATGTCAACAGATTATGTGATATTATGATGATGCTTCAAAAGAATAAGTCAACCTTTTTCTTTATCTTTAAACGTGGATTCAATGATTCAGTCATATGCTTGAATAGTTCCATTTTGAAAATTCCTATTGAATAAACATTATCTGTATAAGATTTTGTTTTACAGATTATTTCAAAAAGGTTGAGATTCTAAAGTATAATACTATTAATATCAATTTATTTGTCTAGAAGTTGGCATGAAATGATTCACATAATACAAAGTATACTTGTGTTTTAGCTAAATGGTTTACTGAAATTTGAAGAAGGATTTCACGAATATCAAGACAGAATTTGTAACTTAAACAAAAGGAAGTTTTCCTCAGATTGCATTGAATTTTCTTGAGACTGTTATTCATCATATATTGACTTATATTTTCTAGAGTCATTAAAAATTATGAAACTCTAACTTAGCAAGTGTTGAACTATTGGAGAGTAAAAACTCACAACTATTAGATCACATCCAGAAATATTGGAGCTCCTCAGAGGTGCGCATCCACGATTTCGCCCACGGGATTCAAACCCAACTTGGATTACAACATTAATATTCTATACAATGGGATTATATTATTATGATCATATAAAGTAAACAACGAACACGATGTTTGGTTCATTTAGTTTGCCTGTAGTTTATCAAGTAGAATATTTCTCTAAACAATTTACTTAATATAAGCAAAGATAGATAGTGGCTAACAGTGGACTCGTCAGCTGGATGTACTGCTACTCAGAGTTGATATTCACTCTGGGACTCGAACCCAGTACCGTTCGCTTCAAACTCCATAGTGTTATCCACTTAACTATTGAGTTCTGATAGCCACTTGCTTGTGCAATAGGGTGAAGTTTAATTTTACTTGGTATTGTTTAGATGAATCAATCGGAAGATTCAAATTACTTATGTTTATATCATAACCAGTAACTAGTCATCGACGTCTTCGAATAACTAAGATTTTTCAATAACTTATATAGATTGTCTATTGAAAGGGTTCAGACAAATTAAAGATATTTGCACACATGATCCAAGAATAGCTATTGAACATTTGAAAACTGACATATACATTAGATCTACTGTTTAATAATTCGAAAATTCATTTAATCAAGATAAATATAACTGTACGACAGTTTATACTTTTATGAAGGTTTTTTTGAAAATGATAATTGGTTATGATGAGTGTCAATTTTAAGTATTTATCTCTTATCAGTATAGAAGGTCTATGACTAATAATTGATTCCTATAGTTTATATAACGAACTGTCTTTAGTTAAGTGACAAATGAGAACTGGTTTACTTGTCACAGGACTCAATAATTCTGAATTCAATATTCCCTGAAGGATGATGGATGAGCACTATAAAGCAATCTCATACTAAAATGAAATAACTACTCAATACTTTCCGATTTTCAGTAGCTGTCTACCCCACCCTCAATTTATAATGTAAACTATTTGACTTTTATTTCCTTATCGACCATATTATTGATGAAAATCATTCAATAATTTTACTGATAACAAAAACTCACGCCCACAAATTACAACTTTTATGGTTTGCTATGTAATTAACACACTGTTACTAGTATTTCTAAACATTTTTCCAAAAAATAAATAATAAGCGCCTGTACAATTGTGAACATCATAATATAGATAGTAAGAATTTCGTCAGCAGCCGTATCATCATCATCAGTATCATCATCCATTTTTTTAAAAATCACACTCTCATGAAACTGATTCTCGGGGAAAAGTGTCTATAAGATAAAATCAGTAAAAATATTTATAATTTTGTGGAGATTATTGATCGTACTTTTTATATCGTTTTTGATTGAAGTATTTATATAGAAAATATTGGTGTACTATGGTAAATGTTAAGAATATAATACATGGTATACTGTAAACTATTGTGAATATATGAGATAGTGGAGAAGATTTGTAGCTCAGTTGGATGATTTTGATCGAGTTCTCCAGCTCAGAGAATAAAACTCCATCAAAATTGTGAATATATCAATGGAAAATATTGTTAAGTACCCGTTGAATCATTTTCACTTGTTTCAAAGAATGTATCCACAGAGAAATAGAATAGAAGAATGAATAGATAGTCATTTTTACAAAGTTTACTGGATGTAATCACAGTACTTTGAATATATTCGTATGTATAACATTGATTATTGATTGTGTTCATTATATGATTTAAGGAGAAATGACCTTATTTTTAGTGTTGTAATAGTGATTAGAATTTATCAAGTTTAGCTTGAAGTATTTAAGTAAGTTAAGTTATCCAACTAAAAGAAGGTAACACTTATATTTGGCGTTCTCTGATCTCTCTTGGTCTTCTCACGTTTTATTGTTATCGAAGAACGTTTTCCATCTGACTTACTACATAAAGTGATCGTATGCTCTTGAGATTACTCGTCATTTACTCTTACAATTTGCCAATTCTTGTATATTACCTATTATTCTCTCCCGGGCTTTTGAGAAAAGACTTCGCTGTATTGTGGAGAGTGCTGAAGGCAGTTAGCAAGGTGTGTGGTGAATCTTTCGAGGTCATAATTAATATGGTTATGGATAGACATCTAAAGTCATGCAAATTCTGTGACGAACAGGTTGTTAGTGTCAATCTAGTCAATAACCTGTATTGTTAAACATGTGTCTATATTGAAAAGTTGTACAGTTTTTCAGATTTTTTCAACCTTTTTTTTCCTTTTTCTTGTGTAAGAATCTTGTTGAAATACCCTGTGCTGATAATTCTATGTTGTACCGAAATATAATATTGAATAAGGCCATTCGTAGTAACAATAATATTTTTACTTAGTTCCAACTGAGCATTATATATATTTCATTTGTATCCACGGATAAGTAACTATACTAATCTGCTTATTTATTTATTAATAATTTGAACACATAAATATTGATACAAAAGGGCACCAAATATATATATGCGCGACAAAAAACAATGAGAATTCGAAGAGAAAAAAGACAATAACGAACAGATTAGTGTAAGGTAGTGTAATAATAACAATGGTAATAATGGGGGGAACAGAAACGTACAATCACAAGCAGTCTTTCAGTTAAGGAATAAACAACCATTTTTTACGAAGAAAGAAAAAGAAGGTTGCAGCAGGATCGCCACTGGCTTCTATTCTGAGCCATATCTGATAATGTCTCTAGCCACTGTGTTGCACCATCTCTAGGACCCCAGTCAGGGAGTCGTGAAGGACCAACACAAGCCAGCCCTTTGGAGCTTTCTTTCATACCACGACACCATTTCATACACTGACCACCTCTCACACAAGTATAATGATAATGAAAATGATGGTATTTACTAAAAACTAATCTGCTAATCTTGTCTTATATTCAATACCAGTTTAACTGTAGTATGATGAACTGTCTAAATATTTGAACAATGAGATATCATTACTTAAATATAAAGTTGTTGAACACAATCAACAAGAAACCTTATAATTCATCCCAACATCTAAGTTTGATCATTTAGAGACAAGTATGTCTAGTAGTTGTACAACAATTATATTGTTGTTTTCTAGTATTAAAGTTCATCAATTAATTCCTTAGAAATTGTGACAAATTTATGTTTCCGCCTGTCAAACTATACTTGACTGAATAATTTTTTCTTAAAAACAGAACATAAACTGACTGATTTAATGACAATAAAATACAAACAGATTAGAGTGTAGTATTATAGAAGTGAAATGTGTTTGTGTAGTTTAACATTAGACAAAAAGAAAATATGTAAATCTTGGTTACTTTCTAGACAACATGAGTTGCTGACGGAAAAATAGATTTTTTTTCTACCCATCATTGTAAAATCAAATCAAATTAGATTTCAATACATAGTATACTTGTCTAAAAGAAACTTATTTATAAAAGTGATTACTTCGAAAGATGAATATTTCAGGTAGATAAATAACTTGATTTTCAAAGAAAAGGTTAGACATTAACACCGTTAGATGCCGGCTCAGTGGTCTAGTTGGTTAAGCTCCTGGCGCGTGACTGATAAGTCCTGAGTTCGAATCTTGTGGGGTGCAGGATCGTGGATACGCACTGATGAGGAGTCCCATACTAGGACGAGTTGGCCGTCCAGTGCTTCCAGGTTTTCCACGGT